ACCTCACTAAAAAAAAACTTCCCTCTAATGGGCCAATAAAATCTGAAATGTTATTTGAGAGATCTGTCAAGCGTGTTTTAGCTTGAAGCACATCACCTCTTGCTGGACAACAAGGTGAATGGCAACTAAATTGTTTTTACAATGAAAGTCCATAGATCCACTTTTAATGTTTAAGTTTCTGTGCTGCTATGCTCAGCTCTCCGTCTGTAGGCCCATTATTTAGGAATTATTTTTCCACAATCTCTAAAGATCTTCCTGGGTCAGATTTTAACCCTTTCTTTGTTCACCTTAGACTTAGACTTCTTTATTTGTCATTTTGTATGCACAGAGTGCATACAAATTATAGAAAAATACAAAAAGTGCAGCAGTGGTCAAAGTGTGAACAGTGCAGAGGATAAGAGACAGTGTGCAAGTTGCAGTGGTTCAGTGCAAATAGGCATTTGTGCAAAAAATACGTTATTGAAAATAGAAATGAGATGAACAATTAAAGGGCTAAAAGTTAAAAGTTCAGCAGCATTTGATGCCCGATAATGTGCAATAGGTGCAGAGTTCGGTTTGTGGATCAAAGGTTCAACAGTCTGATGGCAGTGGGGAAGAAGCTGTTGCACAACCTGGTGGATCTGCAGCGGATGCTGCGGAACCTCTTTCCAGAGGGCAGCAGGGAGAACAGTCCATGGTGGGGGTGTGAGGGGTCTTTGATGATATTACGGGCTCGGGACACGCAGCGCTGTGATGAAATGTCCTTAATGGAGGGAAGAGGAGCCCCAATGATTCCTTCTGCTGTCCTCACCACCCTCCTCACATTCTTCCAGTCAGAGGCTCTGCAGCCTCCACTCCACAGAGAGAGACAGCTGGTCAGAATGCTCTCTATGGTGCTTCTGTAGAAGGCTGTGAGGATGGGCGGGGGCAGGCGGGCTCTCCTCATCCTCCGCAGAAAGTACAAGCGCTTCTGTGCCCTCTTCACTAGAGATGAAGTGTTTACAGTCCAGGTGAGGTTGTCCGTGATGTGCACCCCCAGGAACTTTGTGCTGCTGACCACCTCCACAGCTGAGCTGTTGATGAGCAGTGGAGCATGGTGGGGGCGGTTCTTCCTGAAGTCGACGATGATCTCCTTCGTCTTCTCCACGTTCAGGATCAGACTGTTTTCACTGCACCAGCCCACCAGCTTCTCCACCTCCTCTCTGTAGTCCAGGTCGTTGTCGTCTCTGATGAGGCCCACCACCGTTGTGTCGTCCGCAAACTTCACGATGTGATTGGTGGTGAACCTGGGGACGCAGTCATATGTCATCAGGGTGAACAGCAGGGGGCTCAGGACGCAGCCCTGAGGGGAGCCCTTGCTGAGGGTGATGACATCAGAGGTGTTCTGACCAACCCGGACCGACTGAGGTCTGTTGGTGAGGAAGTCCAGCAGCCAGTTTCGAAGGGGTGTGTTGAAGCCCAGATGTTCCAGCTTTTCCACCAGGTGCTGTGGGATGATGGTGTTAAACGCTGAACTGAAGTCCAGGAACAGCATCTGCACGTGGGTGTTCTTCTCCTCCAGGTGGGCCAGGCTCAGGTGAAGAGCGGAGGAGATGGCGTCCTCAGTGGAGCGGTTTCGCCGGTAGGCAAACTGGAACGGGTCGAGTGTTGGGGGGAGACTGGAGACGATGTGTTCCTTTACCAGCCTTTCAAAGCACTTCATCATGATGGGAGTCAGTGCGACGGGCCGGTAGTCGTTGTAGCAGGTGACTTGAGGTTTCTTTGGCACTGGGATGATGGAGGCAGACTTGAAGCATGCTGGCACTGTGGCTTGCTCCAGCGAGGTGTTAAAAATGTCCGTGAGGACACCAGCTAGCTGACCTGCACACTCCTTGAGCACCCGCCCAGGTATGTTGTCGGGACCTGGGGCCTTCCGCGGGTTGACCCTCCTCAGAGTCTTCCGCACGTCGGGTGTGTCAAGGCAGAGCACCTCCTCTTCCTGATGTGGGACAGCCTTCACTGCTGGAGTGCGATTTAGTGCCTCGAACCTCCCAAAGAAGTTATTTAGTCCGTTTAGGAAGTCAGCATCAACTTCATCCACCGGGGCAGGGGGCGTGTTGTAGTCTGTGATCGCCCGTATGCCTTGCCACATGCTCCTGGTGTTGTTGGCGTCGTGGAACAGATGCTGGATTTTCTGGTTATGGTTCCGCTTTGCTAACCTGATGGCACGGTTCAGGGTGGCTCTAGCTGTCCTCTGCAGGTTTTCTGTCAGACTTAGGTCTGGTAGGTGATTTGATTGGATTTCTTTCTCCTTTTGAAGCAAATTAATGCAAGGTGATTAACCAACGTCCTATTTTCATATTATAGGTAAAGGTAATCCGATTTATTCATAAAGCGTGTGTTTCGAAGTCTGCAGTATACACAGACTAACAGAGTTGTGAGAGAAACAGGCCCACATCTTCACAGACTCTTGCAAAGGGTATAAGGTGCTTTTCTAAAATTGACTTTCGATTTTTCCTGCCAAATAAGAAAATTAACCCTTGCTGGTCTCATTTTACCAGAATACATGTATAAATGTTGCCAGGATTTTATTCTCTCATAAAAAAAAAAAAAAAAAAAAAACTATTATGTTTCAATAAGGACTTTTTAATGTGAAATTCTGAGGATTCTCTATTGCAGTTTTCCAACAATGAACTTTTGGGATTTGTTTTATCTATTTCTTATCCTTCCCTGCAGTGCATGATGGCAGAATACATAAATCCGTCCATATTTAGGCGTTACTAAGTAAGAAGCAGTTTTCTTTATAACTGGATAAAAAATATCTCTTACCTTTCCCACATGAAAGCATATGTTACCCTGTCTTTCCAGTTTTATGAGAGCGCTTAACAGAAACAAGGCTCTGTCATATTTTTAGCCCAAAGAGCAGCAAGTCAAAAAACTGCTAGAACCCCCGATCCAACAAAAACTGGAGCCCCAACCCTTCAAATGTCCCAAACTTAACCTGACTTTGATGCTCACCTTTTTAAAACACTGGAGTTGGATCCATTTTTGTAAAACGATAATAAACTGAAATGTTAAGGCTTTTATAATTACTTGTCAATCAATAAATTTAGACAAAAGTTCTGATGAACATAAATATCAGGAATATTCTAAACTTATTTTTAATAAACTTTGTTCTTTTTGTACTTGTTTTTTTTTTCCCCACTAGAAAAATCGAAATCCATATACCGTAGTAGTTTAGGAACTTGAAAAGAAAAACTAAAAAAAAAAAAAAAAAAAAGTTCAATTTACATTCATTTTTAACAGTGTTCCAACACCTTTTCAAGTCAGAATTCCAGATGTCTCAGTTTAATCTGATAAATGAACATATGATGAACCAATACTGTATATATAGAAAGAGATTAATAGATAAAAGAAATGTTGGATGGACAAATGAGCGACGGATGGATTTAACAATTTTGTGAGCATTTTTAAAAGGCTGAACAGTTTTACCACAAACTGCAATTTTATTTCGATTCTCCTTTGCAATACAACTTTGTTTTCATGCTTTTTTGTACTACAGTATATACTCTTTTTATATTGTCTGTTGTATTTTTATCTTTAATGGCATCTTGCTTTAATTATTTGTACGTTATTGGGACCAGAATTACCCTGAAGGAGTAATTCCAAGGGATAAATAAAGTTGCATCTAAGTCTAAAAACTCTAAGCATGCATTTGTTCAAAGTCCACTGAGGAAGGACTTCTCTATAACCTTGTTGTGAAAAATTGCTTACTTCTATTTAGGTGCCTCGATCTATGTGCTAGCTATTACATTTATATGCATGTCTATGGGCAACTCTCCATCAACCTAAAGAGCTGGAGGGAGACATTTAGCTTCTTACTCTTGTTAAATGTAATGTGACTATAACTGAGTGCCTTTGCAGGTTTAAAAAAAATTTTTTTTGTTGTTAAATTGTGATTATACACCTAATTAATTGCCTAGTTCTAGTTTTTATATTCAATACCTGTTAAAAAAAAACACCATACATTGTTCTATTTTCTGAAATTCAGAACCACAACTTGTTCATATAAAGGGCAAAAATTATATTTGCATAAAAAAAAAAAACTATAACTAGTTGTTTTTTCATTACTTTTAGACTTTTTTGCATCAATAACTGGTATCTGTATATATATTTTCTTTTCAGATCGCCTTTCATGTTAAACAAATCAACTAAAATCAAAGGAAAGGCTTAAAGGCTAAGATACTGAACCGAAATCTGCATTGTTAGGCTTTTAGCACGTTCCCCTTTATCTGCTAAAAATCACACAGAGACGAGGTTAGAGCTCAAACATTTAATCTTTTTATTCAATATATTGTCCTAGTTTTCAGTTGTACTTTGATTATAAAATTGGAAACGGTCATTAGAAATAAAGTCGACAATTTCAAGCTAAAAGCAGTCTGCCGAGAATGACAGGCACATTCATTTGCATCCCCCCACCCCCCATTTTCACACCATGCTGCATTTGAAAACCACATTCACACATCTGAACGCTGAGAACTTTCACAGTCACACACCGGCCAGGTGACGAATGGAGTCTGTACCTGAGGAGGTGTAGAAAGATCACGGAGGCGTGGGAAGCGAGGTGAGCCTGTGCTGTGCGTCGTCTGGGTGATGAACTTCCACCTGGCATCGTCGCCTCATGATCATTCATGACTAACAAAAGGAGGCATCATGCTTTTTTTTTTTTTTTTTGTCTAACAACACTGATTATGTTTGTTTTTTTGTCTAACTTGTAACCAACTGGAATACAGTGAAAAACATCTTATAATCAGAACAAAGACAGAATAAAGCAGCTGATATTAACACATAATCATTCCTAAAAAACAAAAAGTCAAACATATCAGCAAGAGAATATTCTTATCCATGTTAGTCCCACTGAAATTAAAGCAGCTAAAGAGTTTGAAGCAGAGAGTCAAATATGACTGGAGAGCTAATAATGCAGCTTGTGCGTAGAGCTGATGAAATCTCTCCCCTTCAACACCATTAAACGTTTTTTGACCTGCTTATATTCAGACTGTCAGATCGATCATTCTTAGGGAAACAGACACATTGGTCAGAACTGAGGCCCAAATAACCGCCAAAGTCGTATTAATGCCATCATTTTCTGACGGAGTCGATGGTATTTAAGTTCAACGACAAAATAAAACACAGCAACAACAAGAAAAGCAAAAATACTTATAATGAAATTAGCAGAGCAGAGCGATAACTCCAACTTCCACATTCCTGCTCTTTTTTTGGGGCCCATCATGATTATAGCAGGTAACAAAGCCGCGGCTCCCGCTTCAAACGTTCCTTTAAAAAAGTAAAATGGCTTCTTGAAACCTGGATGGTTTGTGTTCCAAGGTAAGGTAACACATCCTCCTCTGTGCGGTTCATCTCTCCCCAACAATCGGCACTTTGATGTTGGCCCCAGGACGAGTCTATCAAATCACCAGCGGCCCGCCTCAGACAGCAGGGGGCGTGCGGCCCTCCCAGTACTTATCGTAGGCCTTCTGGAACATGTCCTTACATTGCAGCTTGGCGTTGAGCCGGGAGCAGATGAGGAAGGAGCCGCCCATCTTACGGTGCAGCGAGTACGTCTCCTCCGGCGGAGGGGTGAGCCGGTGCTTCAGCATCACAGGGATCAGGTTGTGGATCCTCTCGGTGGTGGACTGGGCGCCGAAGTCGAAGGTCTCACGAGACGCAAAGGCCTCGCCGAGGATCATCACCGCATCCACGTGGGCTTTTATCATTGCCTGAAGAAGAAAAAAAACATGTTTTTAAAAAACTTTCTTCACATCTAAAAACTGAGAGTCCATTTCAACCTTAACAGGCTCACTCTTCTAATGAAACTGGAAGAAAAGAGTATCCGTGTCAAACATGTAAAGAGCAAAAGGAGGCATTGTCACCTTAGACTCATATCCTGTCAGGAACTTCATGTCAATAGATCTCTTCAGAACTCCTTCTCTGTTGCCCTCAGCGGCTGCATGGATAATCTGCAGAAACAAATACACAACAAGACTGAGGAAAAACATGCAGGATACTAAATGGATTCCTGCCAGAATTATTAACAGAAATGATCCAACATGATGCAGAGATCACATTTATGATTTATGTGCAGGAAAAGAGAGTCATAACCTTCAACTGTAGACCTTAAAACAGGTCCAACATATATTTTTTAAAAGGCTTATATGCTATTATTATTTGTAGTCTAAATTTGTATTAAAAACAAATCAGTAAAATAAATAAGACTGTTTTACTACACAGGTTCAAAGTTTGAAATCACAATTTCATTTACAGAAACTGTTTTACCCGCCCCCCCCCCCGCCCCCCCCCCCCCCCCCCCCCCCCCCCCCCCCCCCCGCGGCAGAGGGGTTGGTAACTTGCGGCTCTCTGGACCGCATGTGGTTGGCACTCACAATTGAAAAATAAAAGCTCTGCATAAAACTGTGACATTTATACAGCTCTTGAACAAAACCAACATGTTTATAGTTGCCATGCCCAGAAAAATGTAAAAGACAGCCGCTTTCTACCGAGTCGTCATCATCCGTCTCCCTCTCCACTCGAATCGCTATCATCAATATTTTGATGCATTTCTAAAGCCTTTTTCAATGTTAGATTTCTTCTGAAAGCCATTTTTTCATATTAGCCAAAGAGTTCTAACTTTCTCGGTAGAATGTTGGTTACTAGGCTACGGTACGGTCAATTAACCTCAGGAAGAATTTACGATGCAACTGATAGAGCCTTCAAAATTACAGCTATGGGAGATTGAGATGACATTTACCTATTTATTATTTAGGATTTTATTTCATTAAAAAAAAAAACTGTGAAATTGAAGGAAATATAGAAACAATCAGTTAACATGACCAACATGTAAATAAAGTTCTTTCCTTTTTAAAATCTCAGAACATTTAAAATGGCGGCCTTCTAGTGTTGAAGTAACACTCATACCTCTACGTAGACATCTGTGAAGCTCTGATCAAAACCTCTGGTAGCACCAAAGTCCAACAGCGCCACCTAGAGATTCATAAAATATTAATCATTACAAATACACAAGTTTAAATCTTTCTGTTTTAGAGATTTTGTGTTTTCAAGCAGCACAAAGTAGGCTATGATTGGGAGATGGAAGACAAAAAAAAAAGTCTTTAAAAATGATCCCCAGGAAGAGGAACCCTACTTTTACACTTCATTTAAAGAGTCCATATGAAAAACATTCAGCTGTTTTACAAAGACTACAGATGATTGATTAATAATATGAGGAAAAAATTTACTTCTTCCCACAGAAAATAATTTTTTTCTTTCTCTTTCTGAGCTGATTGCTATGAAATTCATGAGAAAAAAAAAAGCTTTTTACAACAACCGAATTTGTCATATATTTGTGATTCCAGTTCTATTCAGTGCCTCAACAGGTGATGAACCTCACTGCACATCATTGATAAAAAACATACAGACCTGCCACACTTTTAAGAATTTCATTACGAGAAAGACTTTGCATTTTTTTCCACTTCATAAATATGTGGAAATCTTTACATTAGTCTGACAGATAAAATCACTAGGAATTAAAAGTAAGTTTTTGCAAAAGCGCTTAGTCTCTCCTATCAGTGTAACTAACGGGCTTATTAACCCTTTAAAGTCAAGTGTATCATTTTTGATACAGGAGATTTTAAAACCTCTGCATCATCAGTGTGATGTTTTTGTTCTTGAAACCCTGAATTACATAATCAGACACATGTAGTGAAAAGAAAACATAAAAGATGATAAAGAAATGCGTAATATATTGATGCAAATAAAATTGTGTAATTTTATGTTTTTACAAAATTTATATAGTTATTTCATTTGTCACAAAGTTCAATGACAATTCTAATTTTGGAAAATTAGAATCTTCTGTCCATTTTTTCCTGGTTCAGGCTTTAAAGCATTAAGGGTGTGAGCAGACTCACCCTGTGCGTGTTTGGGTCGTAGAAGAAGTTGGACCAGTTTGGATCCGTCTGCATGTACCTGAACTCAAACAGCTCTCTGAGGCACAACAACAGGATGTTCTGGCAGATCTGAGAGGATGAACAAATGCTGGGATTTATTAAACAACGATATATAAATTGAATCCTTTGTTTACAGATGCAGGTGGTCCTCAACTAGCAGAAACCCAGGTTTGCTTTACCTCATTCTTCAGCTCCTGCGACAGGCTCTCAGCCTTGTCCAGAGGAAACCCAGGAACAAGCTCAGTGGTCAGGACGTGGGTGCTGCTAAGCTCTTCGATCACCTCCGGCACATAGAAGAACGGATCGTCCTTCAGCAGCTCTCTGATGTTAGGAGATAAAAGCATGAATGAAGCACACTGGTAGATCATAAAACTAAGCTGCACCTCACATTAATGCTCATGTCTGCAGGACATCAGGAAAACTTTAAAATGATTAGTTTTAATCCCCATGATAATAAAGAAAAAACGTTTTTTTTTTTATATTTCCTGTTGTCATCCAGAGATGGAAAGTGATCAAAGTGATCAAACAGATTAATAGAACACCATACGCACTATAGGAACCCTGTGACGTTGCCAATACCACCACAAGGTGGCGGTAATGCACCAAAAGATCAATCCCATCAAATCAACACTGGGTGCCATGCTTCTGACATGTTCAGCTGGAGGAGGACCCTTCCTCTAAATCTGCTACATAATCTCTTTAAAATAATCTATAACAAGGACATAAAAGCAGATCTTAGCTCTGCTGAACAGCGGCTGAGATTCTACATCTGAGGGCTTCTAAACAGGACACTTTAAGGGAGTTTATGATGTTTCCAAATCAAATATTTTCCTCAAAGTACCTGAACTTCTTTGCACACTGAGCTTCTCGGATGTAGTCGCACTCCAGCGCCAACTCCCTTCTCATTACATCGATCAGATGCTCTGGAAACAAACCTACAGACAAGAAAAGATTAATTAAAGAAGGACAAAAATAGATTTTTTAAGGTTTCAAGAGGATTCTGATTTTCAGAACTTTCCTCTCACTGAAAAAAAAATAACTAAAAGGCTCAACTTTTAAGGATATCTTTGCACTTATTAGTAATGTTTGTCAAACTAAACAGGAGGGAAGGAGAAAGTCTGATTAGAGGAGCTGACAGGTGTGCTGCTGGGTTAAGTTGCTGCTTAATCTGACTGCATACCCTCAGGCAAAGCGTTGCTCATGTTCAGCACGGCCATCAAGTTTGTGACGTCACTGTTGATGCTCTGAGCCACACCAGGATACTGGAGACAGAATACAAAAACAAAGTAGTTTTATTCATTTTAACCCAGAAGTTTCAGGTTTTCTTAGTAATTTCTTTCAAGCTATTGTGATCAAACTGCATCCAGATGCATTACTATTTAATCTATCAACTATGCACATGGAGAGCCTGTCTGTATGCAAACAGATCATGAATGGTTTACCCACATGCTCTCCAGTAATCCTGTTTATCCTGACAACCTGGGAATACCATATGTCCACACTAATGTTTATGTGCAAACCTGTATTTTCATGGCCACCTCCCTGCCATCCTTCATCCTCGCCAGGTGCACCTGGCCGATGGAGGCGGCTGCAAACGGGCGATCCTCGAACGATTCCAGCTTGTCCCTCCAGTTTGGACCAAAGTCGCTGTTCAGCGCCTTCTACAGATACATGCAAATCATTACAGTTTAGAGATTTCTTATAGGGATGGGGAAAGAAAAATGTATATAAAATAAATGGAATTAATGACAAATGGTACATTTTCATAGTAATTAATAATACGAAATAACTTTATTTTTCTGTTATGTGCAATAACCTGCAGCAAAAAAATAAAAATGACAGGATATAGATCTGATTATCTAAAATGCTTGAAGCCGAGTTTAGAGGAATAATCTTGGCTTTGAAGATGTTTTATCCTAAATTTTCTTCTAGCACTTTAATACAATTTCCATTTAAATGAAGAAGTACATTTTTCTTTTGAAATAACATTATGGAAAAATAACTGAGAGAAGCTGTTTCTGTTTACAGAAAACAACAGAGATTGTTTAGTGATTAGTAAACTCGCTGAAGCATCACTGGCTGAAGTAGCCACTGTGAGTTGGTAAATCCAAACATTCATGGTGTGGGTCCAAAATAGTGTAGCGAATGGCTCAGTCAGTCAGAAAATAAGGCCAGGTTTCACAGACGTCTCACTATCAGTATTCAACATCCTGAGGCGGGCGATTCTTCATAAGCGCAGACAGAGCGTTTGTATGGAGCTAAATTGGGGCCAAAATGTTTGCTAAAAACATTTTTCTTTCTTAAAAGTAAACCAGAAAAAAAAGTTTGAAAAATAATAATAATAAAATAAATAAATAAATAAATACATACATAAAAAGATATATATATATATATATATATATATTTTTTTTTTTTTTTTTTTTTTTTTTTACTACTTTTCAGATTCTATTTTTTATTTTTTTTTACATGCAAAAAGAAATGTTTGGCCTCAAACTTATGGGGTTGAGGCCTCATATGAAAGGGATGTGGAATCATGATTAACAGCTCAATACAACGGCTGAAAAAAAAATAAAGAAGAATATGAACAGAATTTTTTCTTCTCAAAAAAATTTTATTTTTCTTTTGAGAAAAACTTTTTCCACATAGGTATAAATTTCCCTTTCCAAACTATTTTCTGCCAGGTTAATTTTATTTATTTTGAATTCACATTGAACAAATGTTATGGTCTGAAATTAGCGCTATACTTCTGCATACAGTTACATCTGTCTGCTGTTATCGAGTCCTATTTGCACCAATGTTGGACCTGAAATAAAAGGCTTGAGGGTCATTTCTGTCAATTATTTACATTCTAAGAAAAAAACTGTTAAAAGTTATGTATACCCCTTCTATTCATCAATGCAAATATAAAATGCTAATATAATTTAATCTTTCAATTAAGTCCCCATCTCATATTAATCCAGGGGAATTAATGACTGACTTGACTTTTTAGTTTAGCCCATAATATAAAATAAAAAAAATAAATAAACGAATATACAAAAAGAATCCATTAAAGGTGATGCTGAAGGGGGGGGGGGGGGGGGGGGGGGGGGTTGCTTTTGTAATGACAGCATATTTTTTGCTTTATTCAAGTTTTTACTATCATCACTCAACATATGAAGAAAGGTACTTACTGTCATCTGCTTTATCGGCATGAAATCAGCGCTCTGCCTGACACGTTCAAAGATCTTGGCTAGTTGAGGATTGATAAATGCATCGTCTAAAACACACAGAAAATAAAAGACTTTTCTAAGCAGAAATACAGATTTATAACAACATTTTTTTCCCCCTAAAAGTACTACAAAGAAAGATGCTCACTGAGGATAAAGAACACATTAGATAAAATCCCCTTTTTTTTTTAACCCCACCTTCATAATAAAGCCAAAAGAAACAAAGAAGGACTAACTCTAAAGAGGACACCAATAATCACCACAAACTTTCATCACAGTAGAGACCTGTGAGGGTCAGGACTATTTTGGACTTGTTCTAAGATGAAACAATCCCAGCAGCATTCCTGCCATGACAGATAAATGTCAGCAGAGGGCAGCGACGCCTGCAGCGATTTTTATTCATGTACTAAACTCATCTCTACCATTTACAGTATCTGAGGAAGAGCGACAGACCTCCTCACTTCTGGATTTAGGAATCGCCTTGTCACTGGTTTAAAGATAGCCGCCCCAGTTCTAACACGTGTACACTGGGTCTAACCCTACTGGAAAACAGAAAGAAGATTATGTCCTTTACTTGAGCACCTCTCTGTTTACTCATTCCCTGAATTGTGCACCAGCATGTTTATGGTGAACATGAATCCGAGAGGAGGAAGCTAACCCGGACAAGGTCAAGCTGAGGGACAAGCCAGCGGTGGTAAACAAATTCAGAACGAGGTGTTTACTGCTGTTACCTGAGCCGGGCTCATAAACTTCCCTGCTTGGAAGTCCGACATTCTTGAGACACGTAAAGATGATGTTTTAAAGCCAAAACACAGTAATCCAGCAGGTTAATGGCAGAGTAAAAGCTCTGACAGAGCAACCGCACAGGAACCCTCCCCATTTTCACTGAAATTTAAAAGCTTGCTGAGCCTTCTCTTTTTAGGTCAAGATTAACCACTTACTAAGGCTTTGATTGGGAGATTTCATGCATAAACCCCAGAATCATCTTTGTAGCTCACCTTGAATGCTTAGAGCTTGTCCGAGTTTCAAAGCGGCTCCTCTGACTTTACACAAAGTTCTGACAATGCGCTCGGCGTTGGCCTCGGACAGGAAAGGGCTGGAGTCCAGAACAGCTTTTTTATTTTCACCTAAAATAAGACAAAAAATAACAATAATAACTTAACTTGCATTTCATAGAAAGAGGCTTGAACCAGTGGAGGACTTTGCTCCACCTCTATAACTTCTCAGTTCATTCAATGAGGACAGTCCCTGTAAATATCACCATAAACCTAGTAAGCATATCCATTTTTCGACATGCGGCAGCGTTAGGGACTTTACCTTTTTTTTTTTTTTTTCACTTGGGCTTTATCTCCCTGTCACTAAGCTAACCCTTAATAAAATCCTCTGATTTATGATTAACAGAGTCCATGTGTGCAGTTTAACCCAGAGATAACTCCACCTATATGTTTCTATAGGTTTATTAGAAACAAACAAAAAGCATCATTAAAGAACTCAGCAGGCAGGTCAGCTATAAACATATATAGAAATAGAAAGCAGAGTTGGAGGGTATGGCTTAACTGCCAAAATACAAACAGGAAATTTATCAGACAGGGTGAATGCGTGGAAGGTTCTAAACAGATGGAAAGAAACTTTTAGTTTCTGGTTAAACATATAATATGCAGGTGGTGGCAGCATCATGCTGTGGGGAGGATTTTATTGCCATGGATGTAGAAGGAAAGCCTGGCGGAGACTTGAAATTGGAGCAGAGTTCATCTAATAGTAGCACAAACTCTAAACTTAGAGTGGGAACTAACCTAGGACAGCTAGAATGGACCTGATATCTAGACCTAAATCTGATAGAATGTGTGGGAAATCAATGTCCACAAACAGTCCATCCAGTCTGATTAAGCTTGAGCTGTTTTGTAGAGGAATCCTCAGATGAATAATTATCTAGATGCACGAAGTTGACAGAGACAAACCCCAACAGTCGCCCAGCTGAGAGGAAAGTTTTACAAAGGGCTGAATTAAAGGGGGTTAACATATATATTAGGTACATATTAGATTTTTTTTTATAGTCAGACAAAACAAAATACCTTATAGTTTTTGGCTGTAATGTGATGAAAGACACAGTATTGTGAGATAGAAGCCTTTAGGGGCTTCTGTTTAGGAAACACCAGCGTCGCCGTCTTGTGCCACACCTTTAACCTGCCCGTAGGAGCTCTGAACGGTCTGACAACTCGCTCTGCTAGAGACTAAATAACCCGGAGCCTGATGAGCTGGATTCTCTCATATTTCTGTGAAAATCCAGCTGCCTTCCAAAATACACAAAGAATGGTTACAAATGTGTCTCAACACACCTCCTACAGGAGACGCTTTCTGATTTCCTTACATCTCTAGGCTCCAATAACATTAATGAAAATGTCTGACTTGGACAAACACTTTTTACTCTCTTGTCCAGAGGCACAGACTTAGATTCAAATTCAACACATGGCGATTACTTGGTTTAACTAAAAGGACCAATCTGTTGTAAACCAGATTAATACGTGAAATTCATTCTGAATTCTACCCAGTATTAATCTGGAACTCCTCCATTTGAAAGTGTTCACAAAAGGGAGGGACATCAAGTACAATTCTCCGAGCTGATTGGGTGCCTGCCTTCCATGTCGACTTTTAAGCCAATCACTGCAGCAGTGGCAACTGATACGCATCACAGTAGCGCAAACATCTTTCCCAAACACAAAGGTGAAAATCGTGTTCTTTTGCTTGTTTTTCCAAAGAGAAATAGAGGGTATTCCAGCTTAAACGGGCCCAGCCATGATTGTTTTAATTCAGCCCTCTGCCTCTAGTTGAGGCGTTGACGTTACACATTTCACAGCATTTTATTGGTCTGAACCTTTTCTGTTTTGAGCCAAATGTTTCTGCAGGGTCTTGGCAAGATGTATTTTCGGGAGTTTGTGAAATTAAAATAGTCGCAACAATTCATCTTGCTTGCAAGGTCATCGAAGGATGGCTCGCTTGCTTAATACTGCTGATTGACAACAGGTTCAACTAATCAGTGTTGCTGCCTAATCATTAGACTATGCAGTCAATCACGGTGTTCACTGAGGAACTATAGCGAAACATGAATACACACTGTATTCCATGAGGGGTTCAGAAATGTACTGCTACCATCAAATGAAACAGGGAGAGGGGATGGCAGGCCACTGCTGAGATTAAAGGCCTACATTGTCCCTTTTTTCATCACACTTTATTTCCAAAGAGATATCCAAATAAAATTTGACATTTAACCAGTGTCTATTTTGACATAATTTTAGATAAGATTTGTTGTTTTTTTTGACAAAAATTTGAAATTTAGTTAAACTCTTCTGTATCTAGTTTTAGTCCAGAGATTTTAGCCAAAGTTTTAGTTATAAAAAGCTTTAAATTAAGATTTTAGTTAGAAAGAATATTGCTTTGAGAGTAAATAAATAAATATTGCATATTGCAATTAACATTTCTTCTCCACATTTAATTCGTTAAAAAAAATAAAATAAAATAAAATAAACACCAGCAGTGAGATACGCATAAACGGCATAAGGCCAAGTAAAAAAAGGTTATCCAAACTGGTAGCTCTGATTGATCACACTGCCTGGTCCAGAGTTCAGACTCTAGAAATCTGGATCAGATTTCCACACTCAAATAACTGCATTTAGACAATCATTGAATTGTAACAAAAACAAACAAAAAAGAGACCAAATGAAAAAGCACTCTAGTTAGCCTGGGGTTCGGCTAAAAAGAATAAACGCTGCGGATCATGGATGATCAGCTGCGTTAAAGCATTGTGGGGATCCTTGCAGTTAGGGCAGATTTGTGTCAGAGAAGAAGAAAGGATCATTCTGATCCATGACGAAATGGGATGCTGTGTAACCCCCCCCACCCTAGGTTCTTTTCAGAAAGCATGGCTTCATGGTTCTGGATTCAACAAAGACAGAAATTGGACTTTATCGCATCTAAACCGGCTCCCACCAGGTTAAATTCATTGGGTCAATTACCACGATAACCCAGTCAAAGTGGACCAGCTTTATGAAACCCAAATAACAAAATATAACAGACTTGGCAGACTAAACAACAAACTAAACCATTTTTATTAAAACTCCCCTCTGCTGCAGATCAGAACAAGCTCTTTACAAAATCTCCTGAGGGGGTGTGTCCAGGTGTATTTATGTCAGTAGGCCACCAGGTAGCCACGCCTACACTTTAACTTTACCTCAGGAGTGCTGCTTTCCTGCTGGTTTTAGAGCACAAATAAAAACATTAAAAAAAAGAAAATGAGAGAAAAACAAACGCATATTTTTGGCCTGGAAGATCTCTTTCAGCTTAGGATTAGTAGGTCACTGCAGCAAAGAAGGAATGCTTGCTTAGGAGGTGAGCTGATTAGGAAAGTGGATTTTAAAATGTCTGCAACATGTGAAGACATGCACGAGTCATCCATCAATTCTTCTTCTAAAGTGGCTTTAATCAGCAGCAGACAGACAGGGAAAGAAACACTGTCTAAATATAAATACATATAACCTTTTCAAGCATAAATATTCAGGTTAAAAAAATAAATAAAATATATATATATATATATATATGTTTGCTTTACCTGCAGCTCCGTTCCTGCCCATAGTCTTCTTGGCGACTTCTGCAAGGGCTCCAATACCTAAGCCTACAGCCAGACCTGTGCAGAAACAACGACATAAAGAGAGAATCCAGTGAAACACTTTATGATGTAATGAAGATTTACAACACTGATGCAGGAAACTTACAATCAAAACAGCACTTTTACCCAAAAATGTCAACAAAGGGATTTAAAAGAGCTTTTAAGTCAGTCTGTGAGTAAATAAACAGCCGGTGAGTTTAACTATTTAGGAAATGAAAGCTGTGCAATGCAATCTGAGCTGTTTCCTTTGTGAAATATATGTGTTGATAATGAAAACACAAAGCAGGGGATTGTTTGTGAAGAAGTTCCTCCAAGCCTGGCTGACCTAACATAACCCCACATTACATAACCTGCTCATCATCAGCGAAGAAACAAATCTGAGATACTGTATGTGTGGCTGTATTGATGAAGGCAGTGTGAGGCTGTTTTACTACAGAATATAATACTGAAAGAAAAGAGCGCGCAATTAGAGGTGGACATAAATATATCTCTCTGGTGTCAGAGTCCTTTCTCCTAAGTGACAGGTACTTTTCCTATGCGAGCACAAGCGCCTGTCCATCATCTGATCCAACAGTGCAGCAATGTGAGGCCAAAAATACAGCTCTGCCTCTCTGCACTACAATCAGAATAAAACTGGACAAAGGGGAAGGCATATTTAAACATGGTTAAAATGTATAAAACACATAACTGAATAATTTATATGTGCTAAATAACATTTAAAGTAAAAAATAAAAAGCATATATTGTTATTTTTTTATTTCTATTTGAATCTAACAAGCAATTTCTTAATTTCAGAGTGGAAATCATAAACTTCATCAGCTTAAAGCCTAGAAAAGGTCAGAAATAAATGTATTTTAGATCATGATCCACACGCCACAGGTTTTCACAGCGGCTCGTTAAACAGAGGTTCAACACGTCGTCAAATTAGGATTAAATAAAGACCCCTTAAAGCGCACTTTATGATCTTCAATGCTTTACTCTACTCCAGAAAGCTTAAAATGTGGCATTTTTAGTGTTTTGTTTGCTTACATCCAGAACCTGGAGGCAAGCAGGTGAGATTTACCCCCAACCCCAAGTACAGACGGCTTCAGTCCATCAGGACCAGGATGTCCCATCTAATACTCACCTCATAAAGAGATGTTTTTTCTCCCCCCATTGATCAACAAAAACTAAAGAAAATCCAAATTACTCAACATATGTCTATATGTATAATACTGGATCTAATATTCCACATCTTTTTTATTGTTTTTTTTTTAATCATTTTAAACGGCACTCTTCACAAAGAACATGTATTTTTTTTAACCCAGATTATATATTCCCGTATTTATTTATGGCCACATTAGGTTTACCTGTCTATATATAGCACAGCATCAGATGAAATGTTTACAAAAAAAAACCCAGCAAAATTCCCCTTATTTTTAATCGTGGGTGTGTATATTTCTTTTGGTGGTTGTTAAATAACTAAAAAATGTATTTTTATTTTTAGTTATGAATTTTGAACGACGATTAAATGAAAATGTTGATGTATTTAAAAAGGCAAAAGTTTAGATTTAAGTTAAATCGAGCATCTTAATATTTCTCCGTAACTATTGAGACCTGGAATATGGGGAGAAATGCAGACTTTTCCAAGCTGCACAGGAAAAATAAATTTAAAAAAATGATAAGACCGTAAAAATCTGACAGGCTTTTTCCACTAAATTAAATATCTTTAACAATAGCATATTTCATTAACTTTATATTCATAGATTTTCTGATGCATTTCACTAATAAAAGATATTAGGTAGTTGTTTAGTCATTCTCCTACTGTAAAGTAGTACCCTAACTCATAAAGGCCTTAAAAGCCTTTGCAATCTGGGAAAAAGGTGAGAGTCATGGAGGCAGCATGGAGACCAGAGCTGGGCTGTCGTCAGGGAAACAAGCCAAGCCATTCACATGTGCCTTCTGTACACGGCTATAAAAAAGGCGAGTGAAGGACGGGCAGAGGCCTCATTACTCCACCACCTTCTGTCTTCTCTCGACACTTTTCAACGCCTTTTAAATGTTAACGCTGTCAAACTGCTGAATCATCCCAGAACGACCTGCTGCTTCTCTCTGTCGCCGCTGTAAATCCTGCTGGTTTAGAGACCAGCTGCAGCCGGACTCTGGATACACGTGTTTCTGTTTGCCATTCGCTCCCACTCAGCCCACACCCTTCGCTTTTAAAGTTTCAGTCTAACACATGAAGGGATTCCATGGACAGCCTCCTAAATCAAGCAAACTTTGCTGCAAAGCTTTCAGTGTTTCGGCTGTTCTTCTGTGACATCATATTTAACTCTACCTCTAGCTTCTATGTTTTAAGTTTTCCTCTGATGCTTTTATTGTTTAATTGTGATTGAATTTATCTCTGATATTTTCCACCATTAAAGGTGATAGTTTAAAACAGGGGACACCATCACCATCAAGGGGCCCTTAAGGACCACATGGAGGGGCCCTCAGCGTCTTCTGAACACAGAACGACTCACCAGGGGGCTGAGTTTGAATTCTTATTTTATTCTTCTGTCTTCTCTTTTAATCATTTATAGAGCATTTCATTACATCACTCATACAGGTCATCTACGCATTTATGAAGAACTTAAAATCACAAAATCTACCGATTAAAAGAAACAGTAAAAATATGTTTATTATGTTTGAAGTTTAGGTGAACGCTGACTTCTCCAGTTCATAGGTCAGTATATTTTTCAGCACCCATAAATGAGCTCTAAGCCTTAAAAAGGTTGGTGACCAAATATAAAAACATATACATATTCATTAGTATAAACCCAACATCACATGAAATCCTTTTTATAGTTGAATATAAATGCAATAAATTAAACAAATATAAAGGTATTTATACCTTTATATAACAAGTAGGTAAACATTGTTTTTCATATCCTCTCTCCCTTTATAATGTAAAATATAACTTTGTTTCCCATTTGATTTCTAAGCTACTGATCCAAATTCACAAGAAAAAAAAAGAAAATAAAAATAAATACAAATAAAACTATTTATATACACACACAGAGTAAATCCTCTTAAAGGTATACTATGCAACCGGTGTTGATTTTCCAGCGCGGCTCCCCTCCTGGTTTCTCCGTCAAGCCAGGCGTGGTTGTTTTGAGCTCAGCAGACAGGCGAACGAAACGAATCACCATGTCTACTGCGGTAGAGAGCCCTTTTCCTCTTTTTGCCTGCTCCGACATGGGCTTTCGCTGTTTTCTCGCTGGTTCCGCCATGATAACTGCACAAATATCGCCACTGCACTAGCAATGAGCATGCCTTTCACTGGGGACGTGTAGCAGTTCTCGCCCTAAAGCAAGACCGACGCTCGCAATGCACGAGACTTCTGAGCCTGTGGGTGCGGGCCGAGGGCTCCTGCAATTGCAAGTACGGTATTTCCCCTACAGACCACCAGGGCGGCAGAGAAAACTTTTGTTTGACCTGAAATGACTCATTTAATCATCCAAAACGTTATGGAACACATTAACTTAAAAAATGTTGCATAGTATGCCTTTAACTGTGCATGTTGAAAATAACAGACTGATGTCTGGACTTTTTATTCCACACCTTCAAATCACTGAGATGCTCAGTTTGGCCTGGTGGTTTGAGCCTTCAAGGTTCCTAAATTGAGGTTTCCCCGTAATCATAGCTTCTCACTCTAACAGCAAACTGTTTTTTGAATATTACCTGGTAGTTGATTATTTCTGGCTTTATACATCAGCTAAACACACAATGAGATCGATGTAAATCTGTTGCAGTTTTCCCAAATGGATAAATCCTGACAGATATATAGCACTCAATGTCCTCTAAACAACTAACTGGGTTATTTGTCATGGTTACACTGCTACTGATCTACGTGCTGACTTGCAGGAGGAGAACATGACTGCAGTTTTAGTCAGCCTGTAACAGCTAATGAGTCACCCGGGGTCGTACCTCCAAAGTTGGCCAATCTGCCGAGCCGGGTCACAGGAACCTTCCTCTCTCTGGCTCTTTCACTCAGCTGTGGAAGAAACGTGACTACATAAACACTTTAAAACCAACGGTTACATGAGCAGGACTGCAAATTGTTGTTATGGTAACAGGACTTACCATCTGTTTGTGTGGCTTGGAGTCAGCCCTTTTGCTCTGGCTGGTTTTTTCTATGTCCTCAGCTGTCAGCCCCCCCACTGAGGACTGGTCCTGATGGTAGCTCCTAAACTGAGGCTGTTGATAAATGACCTTTTGCGACAATTGTCTGTTCAGGCTGTGATTATACAGCTGATGTCCAAGGGAATACCTAAAAAATGCAAAGAATGCACAGTCATCTAGCTTTTAAGAAATTAGTCTTTGCTTTGACTGAGACTGAAGCAGACGTCCATTACCTGGCATCCTGGTGGTAGGATCTGGTTTGACCACTAAACTGGTTACTAGGATCCTTATATCCCTCAAACATTGACTGTTTCCCATTGATAGTGCTAGTTCCTGCTGGTGCATCAGTGCCAGTCCCTGAGTGATCAGCTGTAAAGTTTGTGTGCTCCTCCCTGAACTCTGATGCCGCGTACGACGTCTCATCCTGAGGAAAATCAAACTCTGGCTCTGATGCGCTTTGCTGTTGGCCAGACAGCTCCTGAAAACAAAAAGCAGACATAATCAGGTCACACCAGGTGCAGATCAATCCTCTCCATGAAGCTCTGTCCCACAGTAACACACTGAGACTCGCCTGTATTTTCATCATGGCTACTGAGAGACTTTGCTCTGCGACTGCTTGGACACTCTGGACAGCAGCACCAACGCCTGCAACTCCTGAGTAAAAAAAAAGATTACAATCACATAAAATGTCTATAGTTGATCTTAATGCTTTGGTGTTTTTTTCCCCTTTTTCTTTAAACCAAAAAAACTCTCTCGTACTTCGCGTTTATTCACTTGCCTTAGGTCAAAGTGTAAAAAAAGCAGGGAGAAACAATTGTTTACTGATTCAAGCCCAGATGCAGTGAAAGGTGAGCTGAAGACATGCATGTTTTATAAATTATCCAACTCCTATTCATACGCATCAACCAACAGATGCATTTCTACTGATTACCAATGCAACACTAGCTCTTTTAAACAGCGTAAAAAATAAAAATAACAAAATTTAAAAAAGCATTTTGAACAACAGAGCTTTGGGTAAAAACAGATTTGCTTTCCTAAGATCCCTTTAAATTAACACTCTGATTAATCGGAATAATCATGACTAATCGATTACTGAAATAACCGTCAACTAATTTAGTAAACGTTTAATCGTTAAATGAAGCGTAAAGAAGAAGAAGAAATCTATGATGATTTTGCATTTCAGATAAAAAAATAATATTTTTCATTAGTCAATATGCTCTATAAAGCCTCCTCAATTTGAAAACTTTTAGTTTCACCTGATTTGATTTCATAAAAAGTATTTTTTAAAGAACATTTGGCAATCTGATTGTTAATCAATCAAAAAGAAATTGACAGATTAATCGATTTGCAAAATAATCGCTAGTTGCAGCTCTAGCTGTCATAAATCTATAATACGTCACATGACAAATACAGACTTCTATGTTGTTTGTTGAAATTCCTGTAGTGACCACAAACAAAGTAACATCTAACTAGAATAAAAGAGACATTTTGTTTCCCACCAAGTGTGAAACACGGTGGTGGCAGCATCATGCTGTTGGGATACTATCCCTCATCCAGGATCAATCGATAGGTAAAATAAATAAATAAATAAAATAACAATCTGTAAACATCTTGAGGGGAAGTTAAAACTTTCAGCCTGAATTAATTTGTTAGAATTTTGGCAGTTAGTTTACCGACATCGCTCGCTAGCTGGCGACTCACATCACCGCACTGCAAATGTTTAATATTGGATTCTAGGTTCCCATATTTGTTTTCTTATGTGTTTATGTAAATTGTTAAGCAGCCATCAAATAAATGAACATGGCAGAAACTTGACAAAAACAAAACTGTGTACGTACCAGTTCCATTGCGCAGCGCGTTGCTCTGGGTCTCCGCCACCGCCTGGCTTAACTTAGCCAAACCACGCATAACCATCATCATATCACCCGCCATGATGGGGCTGGAGACGGATAGAAGAGCAACGATTAATGTCACATTTGTTATACACATAGAGAAACAATTCATAACAAATTAATATAAATAAACACACATCCAGTGCGAGAACAGTCCGTCCCCAGAGATTAAAAAACAGAGAAACAAAGACCTAAGTCTGACAAGGAAGCAAACGAAAAGGAATACAGCTTGTTGTCAACACAATTAGTCCAACCAGAAAGTCGGCGACATATTCAGCTGTTCTGACTTTAAATCGTGGCCTAAAAATACTCATGACCTCCAGTCTGCCCCCCCCGTACACACACCAAGCGGCTGAGTGGCAGGCTGTGAATATGCAGTCTAAGGCTGGATCTGAAATAATGTCACTGGATACGAAAGGCGAGGAGAGCAAAACAAACGCCGCCGCTATTTCAGGACATGCGCCACTGTAACAGCACGTGTTTGGTTCATGTTCAAGGTCTCCCACCGCACTGTACTCCTCTCAGCTTTTTTTTTATATACAACTGACAAGTTCATGAGACTGCTTTCTATTAAACCGCGTCTCAAAGACCTACGGCTGAGTTTAATAAACCAGGGTTATTACAGGTCACACACAAACAGGAAAAAAAATCATTTTTCACTCTTATCCACACAGTAGAGTTTTTATTTGCGTTCCAGTCTGTTGCAATATCCTACTCCAGTTTTGCCCCAGGTGAACTATTGACGGTGTGACAATGCGCTTTGACACAACACAGTCAGTATTGGATCCAGTGGAAAAAGATGCTCCTGCTGCTTCGAGTCTTTGCTAAGTGTTGGCGTGTCTACAGTGCTACACATCCACTGACTGAACGAGAAATTAAATTATTTCTTCTGCTTCTGGTCTGTTCGATAAAGCCTCCAATCAATGGCGTAAATATCGGTAAGCAGAGACAGCAGTTGCTTATGGTCCCACGACCTCTTAGGGCCCCACCCTTCACTGACACCTGGTAGGCTCCCTACGCACTTGTAAACTAGGCCGTTTAGGCCATGAGCCTTTTTAAACATCAAAGCAGACAGTGGTACTTTTAATTACTATGTTAATAACTGTGTATAGTTCATTAGACAGCTGGGAAAAAAAATGCACTCCTATAATATGTTTCAAACCGCAATAAAGATCTTAAAAGAACGATGTATTTGAGTATTTAATTTTTTACGCTACAACTTGGAATTATGGGTAATCCAGAGCATAGAAGGAAAGAAGGAAAGAAGACAGACAGGCTGGAAAGAAGAGCTGCTGGAAGAATGGAAAAAACATCCCAAAATAAACAAGTTTTTTCAAAGAACCGAAGAGGGAGAGGTGGAGGTTGCTGCTACAGGGAGTGAAGATTGCGACCAGGAGATGAATGGAGAGATTGTGGGTGAGGAGGGGGGCAATGAAGCTGAAGGTAGCCCCATTGCTTGTGGTGCTAATATGATAAAGTATACTCATGTCTAGTTGCGGTTCGATAAGCATCTTTATGAAATTAGTTTTTGGAACATGGGATGTCTGTAACATGTGGTGGTGCGCTGTCACCAATGGTTCCATTCAAGGTGCGTAGTCACTATTTTGCCGTGTGAGATGTATAATCATATAATACTGAGAATTGTATAATTGTTTCTTCTTGGCAGATTTATGAAACTGTCGGCATATTCTGAACCTTTCTCACATGTTGTACTTCATATGAGATAATGTGGCTTATGGGCCTGTTGTTGTGTCGTTACGCCATTGTCTCCAACCCAATGCATGAATCTTTGCAGAACTGGAGAGCTCCTTCAGAGACAGACTGCTGCTCCTTATATGCACCAGGGAGCATTATCACAGATCCTTCCTCCCAGCAGCTGTAATACCCTATAACCAACACTGTTCCCTACGACCTAAATACGTTCTTACATTCATGATGATTTTGCACAATTTCTATCTTAATCAGCTAAATAACATGCTGCTGTCATTTTACACATCTTTGATGTTTCTGCTATTTTCGACTATCCATTACTGTAAAAATATCCATAGCTGTATAATAGTTATTTTCCAGGTACACATGTTTTCATATTGTTAAAACACTTGACAGTACCATATTTTATTTGTTTATTTTTAACTCTCCACTAGTGTGCCATTCTTACACTTTCTAAGGTCCACATTCGTGTGACATTTTTTTTTTTGCTGGACAATAAAGGGATTTTCTATTCTATTTTATGCATCCTTTACACATGACAAAAAAAGAATATTTGGACAATAAAAAATAGTCACTGATCTAATCAAAATATCACAGAAATGCTGTTTAATTGTAGCTAGCACAAACCAGACTCTCAGTTGATCTTTGATCCCAGCACTGACATGTGGGATGGATTTTTGTTTTGGTTTTTACCGGACCAACTAGTAAAGGCAGTGAAAGGTTGTTTTCTGGAAGCTAGTCTGCATATTTCAATGACTCAGTTAGAAAATAAAAAGAATGATGCTTCAAAACACCAACTGTAGAGATTCTATGATAAAAAAAAAAACACTGTATTGTTTGCTGAGCTTCTAATATATAAGCCTCAGCTGTTGTCTGCTGCACACTATGATATGGAAATAGCCACGGTTTGAATGGCTGAATGTCGTTAGATACACCTCACCGGTCCCTGACAGGAAAACATCACTGCCCTTGACCGCAGAGCCTGAGCCAAAAGTGGAAAATGCTTCCCGGTGCTGTGAAGTGCTGAGACTCCACAGCAGTGGCATCAATGCTCCTTATAGAGGAAACCTGAGTTCAACCATGTTCTATTCAGGCATAACGGGACTGGAGTCAGTCTGGGCTCCATTTTGATCATTGAACATGTTGAATTTTTGGTACAAATTGATGATAATGATAGCTACACCACATCTCTGGTCATTGTCTGCATACTTTAATGAGAGCATGTTGCTGTCAGACATAAAGAACTGGATAGCAGAAATAATCTGAACCATTTTACACTAATTTGGAGCTTCTAAAAACTTCCCTGATCTTTAAACACATGTTCTGTTAGATTTAAAAAGTGCTGCATTCATTATTAGGAAGATATTTTTCAATTATGCAGCACAAGTGACTCAGTGGTAAAGCTGAAGGAACACATTCCCAGTTCAGTTCCTAGTCCAAGGACATTTACTGTAGGTCTATCCTGTCTCTCTGCTCTACTTCCTGTCCAGCTGCGATTATGTAAAGAAATAAAATACTGCAAATTACAGTTTAATAAATAATATAAAATAAATAATATTGTCCCAACCTTCCTGGCCACTCTCTATGAGCTTTAAAACCTCAGTTCCCAAAAGTCCAAAAGACTTCCCACTTTTCTATGGCTACTTCAATATTAGATACTGTTACATGTTTGTTACCAGCTTGTAAAAATGTTACAAAGCATGAGCTTTTAAAACACCAAGCTTATCTGAAGCATAATATTCCAGGTTTCAGTTGGATATAGATTAACATATAAAAAAAGTCCATTTTATCATGAAGCCACAGCATTCAAACATAAAGGTAAAATGATGCTTTCTTTGGAGGTTTGCAAACCTTTTCGCACCCAGAATATCCTGGTTAAACAATGTATTTAACTCCATTAAGAAAAAAAACTGAGGATCCATGTATTTAATTTAATTGCACAGATTTCTCAATATGAAGAACAAGCAGGGCTCCGGAATAATTCATTAAGATCATTTATTACCATTATTCTTAAGGAATATATATATATATATATATATATATATATATATATATATATATATATATATATATATATATATATATATATATATATATATATATATATATAAACCTCTGACAGAATAGCGCCCTGGGGGGTGAGCTATATAATTACAATACAGGAAAATTAAGACATTGATGAATGTAAAAATGTAAATTGTATGCAAGGAAAATACATGAACCCAGTTAAAAGCTTGGGGAAATTTGTTATCAAGTTGTAACATCAACAATAATAAAATCTCTCCATGTTTCCTCTAACCTCAAGGAAAACTATAGAATTTTTGATTATTTACTAAAATGTACCATCCATCTAAGCGATGTGTCCCAATATCCTTCAAGAAAAGCGCTTCTCATTAATCCTTAGCCACATATTCCTCTGGGGGCCCGCAGGGGCCTCCTGAGCCCCGTGCAGCCACGAGACTTCACCCAAACTCACGAGCGCCATGCAGACATCCGCTCCATTTTAAAGCTAGCGTAACAAGCGCGTTAAATCCTCCTTGGCTGAGTTGTTTCTTGCTCCTACGTCCGAAGAAAGTTTTTAGAGAGCAGCTCGGTGAGTTGAGCTTCAGTGGAGGCAGCCATAGATCCGCCGCCATATGTGAAGCTCGCGCTGACCGAGCATTTAAGAAGCAGCTGGAGGCTAAAGCAGCGCTTAAATCGGATGTTTTAGCTCTAACTACACTGCTAATGAGTTTGATTTTGTTTGTTTTTTTCGATGCATGAAAAGGAGGAACTCACCAGCTGCTGTCCTGCAGAGTCCTTCCAAATCTATCAGAGGTCAGCAGCGGAGAGCGACTCCAAGCACCCGCCCCCTTCTTTGAGTTGCACAGCCGAGATAAGGAGGGGATGTTGTTCCTTTGGCTGAACGTGTTTGTCTGAACGGATTCCTTCTTGTCTTCCTGCTGCTCCTCCTGTTTAATCCAGCCTGTCTGTAAACACTGGGTCATGCCCTGTTTCCCAACTTCCCGCTGCAGCCAGAGCCGCTTACTGACACAATCAAAAGTAACGTTTCACGCAGATTATTTCTCTCTGAGCTCTCACTTCTTTTTCCTGGAGTCATTAGTTTCTCCTTTGCTGTGCAGAAAGGAAGGGGATATATGTATGAACGTGTTAAACCTGGTTTATGCAGGGCTCTGGTTGTATTTTTCCTCTCTTAAGCCCCGCCCACTCCTCCTCATTGGCCAATTGTAGTTTGTTTACAGTCTGGGGAGTTATATCCGGGAGGCCCCATGTTGCTGCTCAAGAAAAAACATTGCTGATCGGCTCTTTCTGCGGGTCATTAACATGTCCGCTACATGGATGTTACATTAACAGGCATGGATGTTAAGAAAACGCATAGAATGAAGATATGTGACACCGGATGGAGAAGATTTGGAAAATGACGCGGACTTAATCATAACATCCCTGGTTAACTGACTCTCTGCTGCCGCCTGCTGGCGCAGACACAACGGTGCAGTGACGTGGACTTTTAATCTACATTTTACACGTATTAAACTTCAGAAGTTTTTGGTTTAAGTCCTTAAAACTGAGGGTTTGTAGATAAACTGGCAAGGATACGCAACAATATTCCATTGGCTCACAATATATACTGAAAAAAATTAAACTCCCACTATTTAAGGTAAAAAAAAAAAATAATAATAAAAATAATATATATATATATATATATATATATATATATATATATATATATATATATATATATATATATATATATATATATATAAAATCTTATAAAATCACGTCTTTGGAAGACCTAGGCAGAGACGTGTAATTAAGTAAGAGTAGCACAGTTTCCATATAGTTTTACTCATTGTAAAGCAAAATAGTTGCATCCAAAAACCTTTTTTTAAGGATATTGTAAAAAGTCTGGTCAAGTACTAAGCAACTAAGCTACCAATTATGATCATAATGTCTGATTTATTATTTTACAAATTATATAAACTTACATAATATTAAAACACCTTGTCTACTTTTAAGGCTAGGCTTAAAACTTTCCTTTTTGATAAAGCTTATAGTTAGAGTAGCTCAGGTTATCCTGAGCTATCTCTATAGTTATGCTGCTATAGGCTTAGACTGCTGGAGGACATAGGGACCTATTTCATGATTTTGCTTCATTCTATCTCTATTATTCCACTCTGCAGAATCTGTTACATTAATCTCTAATGTTCTGCTCTCTCTGCTTTTTCTCATAGTAGCTTTGCCTCTTTTGTTCCTGTCTGGCTGTGACACCACCTTGGAGAGAAATATTAGCTGTGCTGCTGCCATCAACACCCTTTTTTATAGATGTTGGAGATCTGTTTTTCCAGTGTAGTCCTGTTTCTCTTACTGTGACTGGCTGGATGTTCTCTCTTCATCCTCTGACATGGGAGCTGGCTCAGAGCTCGTCTGCCTGCCCTTGTGTTTCCTGGACGGGGCCACCTTTTACAGCTGCTTTTTGTATCTCTGCTTCTGTCTCCTTGAACCCCAATCAGCCTCAGCAGATGGCCGCTCACACTGAGCCTAGTTCTGCTGGAGGTTTCTTCCTGCTAAAAGGGAGTTTTTTCTCTCCACTTTCGCTACAAGCATGCTTAGTGTGAGGGATTGCATCCGAGTCAATGAGTTTATGCAATCAACTGGTTTTCCTTAGATAGAAAACTTTGAATCAATTCGACCGTATGATCTGGTAAACTGTAAAGTGCCTTGAGATGACATGAATTGTGAATTGGTGCTATATAAATACACTGAATTGAAATTAAACTGAATTAAAGTTATTTGTAAATTCTTGTGTTTGAAAAATAAGATTGTAAGAACATAAACAACGTACACTAATGAACACATTTCAGGTGGAAGAAGTACATTTCAAAATATATATTATTATTTACTTTTTAATATACAAATTATGAAACCCAATTATTTTTATGTCTATAGGTTAGAATAGAGTAAGTTACCTTTAGTAACAAGGTGCAATAAAAGTCTTTATTGAATTTTTTCTTGACATGACTTCTTGATATTCGTGTCGAGTATGCAACATTATTCTCTTGTTGTAGGGATACTTTATATTATTTACTCAAGTAAAAATAAAATTTACAATTCAGCAAAACTACTCGTAAAAAAAACACTTTTTTTTTTTTTCAAAAAAGCACTCAAGTAAATGTAACTGAGTAAAAGTAACTAGTGAGTACACACCTATGAATTTAGGAAGCAAATATGCTGGAGTTACTTACACTGGTGCTTTCATTGGCCTCTACAGTTTTAAGGCATTTTAGATAAGAAACATTAAGGAGATTAAGGTGTTCGAGTTGTTGCTGATTGCAAAATTTTTGGGGGATCATCTGGAATGTGTCCTTTAGTTCATATATTTATTTGTTGGTGAATGTTTTCAGAAATGATAGTTAAAAGTAGCTCAAACCTGATGTAAAAAGTTTTTTGTTACTAATGACTTGTGCCACATGTGGGACCCTATTTCAATCAAATTTCATTATAAATTCAGCATTTTCATAATGACTTATATAAAATCCTTTATGAATAAACAAAGAACGTTAAATAATTTCAAAGGCAAAGCTCAAGTTCTATTAAAACGCTCTTTATTTTTGCTTAGTTATATTTTTTAAATGTAAAAACGTTTAAAACATAACTGATATTTAGGATTTTAAGGGCAAAAAATTTTGAAATATTTCAATCCAAATAAAAAAGCCAGATCTTAAAGCTAGACCTCATTATGTGATTTCTGTGAATTCATTCGAGTTAGATTCTCAGAAACATAGTCGGCAGATCAACAGCAGAGGGCATGCAAATCTTTCTGATGCTACATAAACATGATTTGGTTTGTCCAAATAAAAAAAGTTTCAATCCTCTTGAATTAGAAAGTCTTCTATTAAACTATGCTGATAGTACACCCATACCAATTCAAGTTATAAAAACTATACCACAAAGCCCAAGCTCGAGCAAAATGTTATACAAATTTAATGTAGTCAGATAAAATTGTGGATTATTAAAAACTCAAGAAAAAAGTTCCCCTGCTGTAAAAGCTCTATGGATTAAAATGCAAAGATAAGAAATAGCACAAATAGTCTAAAACTGATTTATATGTTTCATAAAAAAAGTTTTAAGCTTTTGCTAAAACACTCCAAAGGGGTAAGATCTCCAGTGTGTCCACTCACCTAAAAAGAGGCGTGTGCGAATCACGTCTTTTCTTTCTCAGCAGCTCCGGATGCCACTGCTGTTGTGGACAGATGTGATTTGAATGGCAAATAAGCCTCATGCAAACACACTAATTAATGTGGGCAAGAGGCAGGAACGCTGGAGGGGGTCACCGCTCCAGAGGTGAAATGATCACTATGGATGGATGGATGGATGGATGGATGGATGGATGGATGGATGGATGGATGGATGGATGGATGGATGGATGGATGGATGGATGGATGGATGGATGGATGGATATAGATAGATAGATAGATAGATAGATAGATAGATAGATAGATAGATAGATAGATAGATAGATAGATAGATAGATAGATAGATAGATAGATAAACAAACATTACAAAGACTCAAGTGTTTCACAATAAATGTATTTTTAAAGGAACAGTCCAAAAAAAATAAATACATAAACCAGCAACACTACAAACTTTTAACACCTACATTAAACATCTGTAAGTGCACACAAAGGAAAACTGGCAATATTTTTGACTGTTGGTCAAAAAGGGAACAGTTCCCATGTTCCATACCCATGCTTCATAAAGTACAGATACAATCATGTTTTGATGTATTTCCTTAAGAAGGCACAGCACTAAGTTGCAGTATTTCCTTATTTACTGTAACAGCACATATCATGATGGCCGGCCTGTAAAGAACCAATCGCTTCTGCTTCAGCTACCAAACCAATTTAAAATCAACAGAAGGCCTCCTAATTTCAAAAATATATATGAATATAATGCCTCATATTTTCCTACTCATTGACTACCTCTTAAAAAGTAACATCGTTTTGAAAACCCCCCAGATATACCGCTATTCGAAATTGCAGACCCTCCACAGAATAACAAGAAAAGAATGTTTAAATAAATGAGAACAAATTACAAAGTAATTAACATTTAAAAGGATAATAAACATGCACCCAAGTTGGACTAAGCAAAGGAACCCATAATATAACCAGAAAAACAAACTCGTCTTAGCTTTCTGACTTGGCTCTGTAATGTCAAGGCACTGTTTAGCTTAAATAGCATTGTTCATGGCTGTAAGTGTTCCACAGGATTCAACAACTATGTTACAGTAAAAACCAAACAAAACTACACACAACTAAATAGATCTTACTGTACACCGCATTAGCTACCTGGTGTAACCGAAGGGAAGGGTGTTAAGTGTTTTTACAACAAAAGCACAACGGATGCGTTGGTTATTTTACAATTGGTTTCATATCAGATTTGTTGCTTCTGTGGCTCCTCCTCATGGAAAGTAATATTCAGATGACTGATTTAAAGTCTGAGTTAACGCCGCCTTTCCTTACATGTCAAACTGCTCGACTGATTTTCCTTATTTATATGCATTAAATACACGTTACGTCTTAATTGTAAAAACTAATGGAAAAAGAGAGTACTTTTAAAATTAACGTGTTTAAAATTGCATGACGATTTAAAATGAGAAAAAAAAAACGGCTAAAAATCTAGGATTAAAATGTTTAAATTAGCAATTTTTTCACATTTCTGTTTGAAATCATTTCTATAGTTTGTGTTGCTGAATGATGTAGCTCAACAATGCTGCAGAGAATGCCTAGAACTTCTGTTTTCAGTATTGCAAAGCACCCATCTTTAAAAATAGCCTTCAATTTTAAGATCAATATTTATAGTTATAAATTGGTAAACAGAAAAACCTGAAAGCACTGCCTAACATTTACTCAAAACTTAGTAAATTTTATATTTTTTTATTGTCTTTAATGAGAATGGTCCGTTTGTCTCCAATCCGTCAGCCTTTTATTAACTTGTATTATGAGAATTCTAGAAACAAATGAATAGATCAACACATTTGGAGTAAAATTTCCTGAAAAACTGACCTATCAAGTTAATCTTTATGAAAACTGAGGCCATTCAAGAAATAACCTGCTAAACAGGAGAGGCCACATGCTGAAGAAGCACTTACCCTACATATGATGTGCTTCTGATTGAGGATTACTGAAAGAACTCTAGAAAGTGAAACCTTTAGATTGGTAATAGTAACTTATAACTGTGGCTCATATTAACAGCATTTAAAATCTAGGAAGAACTTCCTGGGAACTCAGTGATAAAATGATGCAGTTTAACTGTTATGTTGACTTTAGGTTTGACTTTTAGGCAGTAAAGAAACATTAAAGATTGGCAATCTATAGATCTAATTTTGGAAGGGACAACTTCCTAAGCCCTAGCATTGTTTCTTACTGGATAACTTCTAAGTAAAGTAGCTCAACAAGTGCTAGAGTGTGGTTCATATTTGGTTTAAGTGCTGCCAGAAAATCAAAAAAGTATAAAATAAAAAATGTCTAGTAATTGTCTATAAAAACGTCAAACAGAAAACCAAAATACAACAAGGTGTACCAAACCAGTAGTCTAATACATATACAGTGCCCTGCAAGAGTATACAGCTTAACCTGTTTCACTTTGTGTCACATTATAGCTGGAAACTTTCATGTTTAAGACTCTATTTCACAGACTGACACAAAGTAAATTATAAATAGTGACTACAAGAAAATCATAATGTTTAATCAAATATAAAAAAAAATTAATATAGAAAAATAGACAATGTGTTTTAGATTCTATCGCCTTTATAAGAAAAAATAGTCATGCAACCTTACTGACGCTCTCCATCCAATCAGGCTGAATTTATGCTATTTTTTCAAAGAATGGGCTCAACATCGGTAAGTCCATGATCAGATGCCCAAACACCAAGTAAGAGGTCAGTCTACAGATGCTTAAATGAACTGAATTCATAATGCTTTCAGTTTCCTATTTAGAAATAAATTTTAAAAACTATGAAGCGTTCAGATAAATCCAGATAAAATCACACAGATTCATTGTGCAACAAAAGAAAATGAACAGGTTAAGGGATATGAATACAATTGCAAAGCACTGCATTATGTTTACTATTATGAATTACGCCTTAAAGTAATAATATCATATAATATTAAGCTTTTTATTAAGTTATTAAATTATTTTAGGCCTTTGGTGAGGATTTATTTCTAATATAAAAGTACAGGTTTCTTTGCATAAGGTAAGAGAGTCCATAATGTTTGCTTTTTATAGGACATCTTATTTAGTGAAAGTTTAGGCTGTCAGAATAAGGTTACATAAGATTGACCTTTTTTCAAATGTTTAAACCACAGCATTAAAAAAAAAACTCTGGTTTAGCACAGTTATGAGGAACTGAGGCCTTGTTGCTGTAACTGGTTCCACTTGTAGGGAACTAAGAGGGGGTCGGATGATGTGATTTGCATCTGAGTTCGAGCGTCGGCGTCTCCCAGAGGAAGGAGTATGAATGGAAGCGTTGATGGTGGTGAGTCCAAAAGTTAACTTGGTTTAGAAACAAAAACCTTCAAGTCTCAGAGTTCACCATGGAGGAAAAGATGTCCACCAAACTGTCGAGTCCAAAAAGGTAGCCGTCCTCCCTGTTCCCCTCTATCCATGAGGCTCGGTGGGTTAGTTCCTCCCCCTCAGGGAGGGGTGTGGTCTTCCCAAAGTCGATCATCCAAACTTTGGCTTGTTTCTTGCTGTCGTGAACGAATAAGAGCGAGCTGCCGATTACCTACGAAGAAACACAACAGCGTGATGATCCAAGAGAAGTGGACATGAATGGCAGAACGGAACAGGATTCTCCCTGTTATTTACTTAATAAAGTACACGCCTGCTTGTTATTTGTTATTTTTAAACATTATCTCACTTCTTGTTTTGGACAGAAACTTGGTACTAAATGGCTGTGTGAAAATATGTGTGGGGAGGCAGTCTAATTTTCCATGGTTAGACCATCTGTGTTTGAGTGATCTGGTGCGTTTACTTCAATTCAAGACACAGACTAAAAAAAAAACAGCTAAATGGGATTGTTTTGATCCCCCTGAAGTTTTAAAGACTGCATAAAAACCTTTATGTAAGATGTAGAAAACACCAGATGTCAAAGACAAAAATAATTTTGCATCCAAATATTTTACACATTTCTCTGAAATATAACCCATCTGTTACATCTACACACATAGCACTTCTTCATGCTTTTCTTCAATGTAAACAAGAAGTATAGTGTTTTTTATATTGATGGGTTAACTAGCTAGTAATGAGGAAAGGTTTGGCCTACTGCCTGTGTGTCTTTACCTCATGAGATTTGAAGAAAGGAGAGATCTCCAAAGTGCCTCGGATTTCCTTTAACCTTGTTAGATATTTGTTCTGTAAAATAATAAAAAAAACAAAAAAAAAAACAATATTAGACATGAATGCGTGAATTAAAGTTATATTTAAGTTTAAAACGATCCCTAACTTTTAAGTGAAATTTGATGGAACGTGAGCCTTCCATAAAGCACAGATTTATAAAGGCCAAACCTGACAGCTTTCCTGTCCATGGAGCACTACAGCTCCTCCAGTTACCATCATGGCTTCCTCCTGGTTAATGCTATCTTTGTTACTCGTTTTAGAAGGACAAATGTTGTGATAAGTCTGCAATTGTCTTACTGTATTTACATTTTGCATTTAAAGTAAATGTTTGCACTAGATTTAATTTACCTAGGGTTATCAGAGTACCTAAAGCTGGATATACCTGTACTACATGTTTTTTGTTGTTATATTTGTAATAAAGTAAAGAGATTGTATGTAGCGTTACCTTCCACTTCAAAACTATTCCCTACTTTATTTTAGCACATAAGATATTTCTGTATACTGTAGAAATATTTGTGGTAGTTTCATTGTAACTATTTTACAGTGACAATCTGTTGTGCTCTGAATTGCATCTACACCTGTAGTCCTGAGGTCTGTAAAAAGTTCAAATGGACTATTTTATCTCTGTTGCCACGGCACAAATAAAACCAGACACCATAAACAACTGGAAAATCTGCATTACTGACTCATCATTCTCAGATAGCATCATTACTAAGAGGCATTGTGTAAATAGTTGCACAGTTTTGATCTAAAGCCTAAATCTTTTGTTTGAGAGAAAAATATGCTGCTCATTGGCACGATCATATTAAAGGTGATAGCTATGAGTTTAACTCCTCCTGGACAGTAATTGGTGCGTTAACCCACTCTCCTGTAATATTTGCCAACCAGTTGCCAGGTGTGCTAATGCTAATGCTACTTGAACCAAACATTTTACCATCCAGTTCAGAAGAAAAGCAGCTCAGGATCCTTTCGTGTTAAAGTTGGCATAATAACCAGAAGTAAATATTCCTTTATTCTGCACCACTTTAGACGTTCTCTAAAAAAACATTTTGAAAACTGTATCGATACGAGGAAAAACCTGTAGCTATGACCTTAAATCACATCTGGATGGCACATATATTGACAGCCTATTAAGATTATTTCATCCAGTCACCTACCAGTATCTCCTTATCGCCTTTTACAAAGTCATGGAAAGCTGCAACCACCTGCTCCCTTGTCTTGGTCTTCTTAAAATCTCTGTTCACAGATCCATCTTCTTTCTACAGAAAAAAAGAGAGAAAATTAACATAAAGTGGCTTTTTGTGTATGCGTCTTTGAAGGTATGTGTACTTCTGATGTATAAATCAATCTGGGAGAACATATATGCCACTCGATTTTTTTGCATTTATGATCAGACAAAGGTAGCAACAGATAATACAAGATGCTTTTCGCAAATAATTAATATATCAGTAAGGAAATACCCTCCAAACCTGTTTGTTTTTCTAAATTACATGGTCACAAACTGATTGCCATTGCAGTTCCATTAATTATTAGGTCATCAGACAATCAAACTACCACTACTGTTTTTGGCCTTTAGTAATATGTTTTTTTGTTTTTTTTAATGCTCTAAAATTTCAAGCTAGATCATGGTTTTGTACCTCATCTGTTGTTATATTTCTAAGGGATACATTTTGATATTTTTAAACCTACTTCGTGTTGTCAGGCACGTCCAAGCAATTCCCTGTTCGGCATGTTTACACTTGAGGCAGAGCTAAAACCATGACTGGAAACTGATTTTTCTATTTATTTAGGTTATGTAATAAAGCCAAAGCAAACCAATGTTCAAACAGACAAATATATTTAAGGATCCAGGCTTAGGAAACCTGGAGAAGAAAAAGGTAGAAAGGATGAGAAAGGAAGGGTATGTGTGTCTAGTGTGTGGAAGGAAGGGTAAGAGGGATATTTTTAGAAAGTTACCCTTCAGACCAATAAGGGCGCTTCTGTATTTTTAAATCTAAACATCCACACAATCGTTATTTTTAAACCTTTAATTTTCCACTTCTTACATTTTGTATGTTTTGATGCGTCACCCATCTGCTATCTGTGTTACGCCTTACAAAGTACTGAGGCAGCCTCGCTAAAATGAACTCATCAGTGATAAAAACCAAACAAACAGGCCAAACTGTCCACTTCCTCTCTAATACAGCAAATGTGGAAGTATGAATGTTTGTAGTTGTAACAGAGTACTAGTGTGTGAGGCTTTAGTTGAGGCAGAAAATGCAATACTGCTTCGGCAGGAGGTTTTTCAGACGAGGCACAACTACCGTTGGTCACCAGTTAGGTGGTTTAGAGTGGAGCTCTTCTTATCCTGCTCGCTGCCTGGCAACAAGGTCATATTTAGCAGCAAAAGTAGTTCTTCCCTTTATGGTTTAAAGTCTGAGGATTCTCTGACCCAATGGGGCTTTGAGACACACTTTATACCTGACTGTGCTGTGTTTCCAGCTATCATAATAGACTCGTTGCTACAGACATGGCTGTCTACAAAATAAACTGAAGATCCGTGCATAATTATCCAGATAAAGACCCACACTTGTCTTTTTTTTTCTGGGGATAACCTTCAGTATTATGGCAGCAGACCACCAGGAGGTTGTGAATGTCCTTATATAGCCATGACTCACACAGACAAAGAGACTTTGAGTGTGTACACAATATGTCAGAAGCATATGCCCAGGCCGCCACAGCTGACAGTGACAGAACCTGCGCAAAACAAAGGTACTCATGTAACTCAGAGGAAGTTTCTGGGGAAAAACAGGAAGTTAGATCATATTCCTAAACCAATCGCACTGCAGAGCAGACCGTTAGAAGAAAGAAGGGAAGGAAAACGGCATTGTGAGTCGTACCTTGACTCCCTCTATCCTGAACCCCAGGGTGGCCGTTGAGCTAATGGTCTCTCTCCACTGCATGTATCTGGGCTTGGTCACTGCCTTATTGTCGTTCTCCTCCAATGTTGGTGCCCCTGGGTCGACCTCGACCATTTTCTGATACATGTCGGGCCTCGGAGCTGGCTTTCTACGAGCCTTAGTTAGCTCCTCCTCGAGGTAGGTCCTGAAGGGTCAGTGAAGAACAGTAGTTAGAGAAGGAGGGGAAGGATAGAGTAGAATAACATGAAGGATTTCTGAACCACAACAGATGCTCATAAAGTCAGACTTTTAGCTATAACTGACCAACAGAGGTTACCTCTTTTCTATAGATTCACAACCAATATTAACGTTTTGGAGAACTTGAAATATAATTATGAAACACACTTCTCTTTGGACCAACTTTAACCATTTTACATAAATAAGAGAATCAAATTACACTGCAAATGCAATATAGGCTTCCCCATGTGTATTTACATGTAGGGGATGCTCAGGTTGCTAAAGGACGAACATCTGCCTTTATGGAAACCTGATCCTGACAAAAAAAAAAAACTTTAAACTAACAGTTAATACCTTTCTATTTGGTTTAACCCTATAACCGCAGTTTTAATTTTACAAATCTAGTTTACTACTGCTTTTTAAAGGGGGTCTCCAAGTGGGTTTGCATGCACAGCAGAAAAATCAGCTGTACCTTTAATTTGCTCTGTCAGCCTTTCCAGTTGTTTTACAGGGAAGTTTGGTCAAATTTAAAGAACAGATGCTGTCTTTGGTTTAACCGAGGGATGATTTTGATATGCTCAAACATAAGCAGCACTTCGTATAAGTGAATATAACTAAGTGAATTACTCAGGGCAGGTAAACAGTTTCACTTCGAAGTCAGAAAAACTGGACTTATTTTGCTTTCTGATGGTTAAAGAAGGGAAATATGTGGATAAGAAGCTTACATTACAACAAACCAGCTCCCCAGACAATCAAAAATCCTCCATGTGCATAGCAACATAATGGAAATCTGTGGTAACATTTTTGCATCGACTTACCTCACTCCCATCTTACAGTCCATTACACAAGGATAGTCAAACTCAGCCAGCAGATCCTCCATCTGGTTATACTTCTGGCCATCCTTCTCCACGTCTCCATGATAACCAGGAACATACGGTCGCAACACATCTTCCATCAGCCGGGACAAGCAGCGCTGCTCGCATTCACAGTGTTTCTGAAAGAAATTATAAACAAATAAGCTTTAATCAGAATCCAAAATATGTGGAAGCTGTTAATAACAGAGGTGATTTAAAAGCTAAATCATTACCTTTAATATACGTCCATTCGCGCCTGCCTTAAAGCTCCCTGTGAAGAGAAACAGTGAGAGCTGTCTTAGCTTAAGTTAACTCCCTGAAGTCATCTCAGCTGTTATTTACATTTTTGTCAAACAATGAAGTACTGTAGGGTCCAATATGATATGTAGCGGTACGCTACAGGCTTCCGTTTTCCAGCTTGATGTTTCGCAGCATTCAGGACTCAAGCAGACCCTTTTATTTCTCCAGGAAGGCCTCTGTGTTCTCGAGCATGTGCCTACATACCTGCATGTCCAGCCAGTTGGATCCAGGGATACTTCTTCTTGAAGGACATAACAAATGGAGACCAGTGGACCATGTTCTTTATCTTCTTCCATGACTTGTGCTACATAAACACACAGAGAAACAAAGAGTCTCATTGGGTTATCCTTCAAATTATTCTTATAGACTACTTCTATTTTACATAGCAATGCTTGGCCATGGGGTACGCTAACTTTCTAGATGGTTATTTTCATAATAATTACTTTGAGTGAGGATAAACTGCTCTATATACAAACTAAAATATCTGTCATTTTTAGAAAACATAGTCAGAACTTAGTCAAAATGTACCTTGTAGAGCTTTTGGATTTGAAGTCACAATCTATCTATCTAAGAGGAGCATGAATTATAATGAAAAAAACAGCGGTTTCAGATATAATTTTTCCTTTTCTTAAAAAAAAGCTTCTAATAACATTTACAATTTACCTGAAACCACTTCCTTTTTCCAAGCAGCTAAGATACCTGTCACTACCCGATCCATCCCGGAAGCTCGATCCATTCTGCACATGCGCCATCAGCGCATCCAGATATACTTCCGGGTATTCTTCGATTTTATTTTGTTAAAAATACCTAAATGACATTTTCCCATCCCAAAAATAGTAAACATACTCAAATATAATGCATTAAAAGATTAATAATGTATTTCTTGAGAAAACAAATTCCTTAAAATCCTTTCTATTATCAGTCGTCTCTGCCCGATATGCAACGGAAATGGGATCCTACGCTACTTTCTGGAGCTAACTTTTTCAGCTTTGGTTTAAAACATAAATCTAGTGTTTTTTTGAGTTTTATGTTTTCGTTTTAACCTTATGCTATATAGTGCATATTCTAAAGAAAGAAAAAACAATTAATGCAGATAAACAGGGTTTAATCATATTTCACCGGACTGCTCTGAGCATGTCTGATGATGACGTCAGAGAAGCAGTTTAACAAAGAAAATTTAAAAGGCATTAAAATTGTCTCACAAAAGTCATAAAACATTTTTTTTCAGATGTGTATTACTATTCTTCAGTGAGTTAAGGATAGAAATAAGTAGTTTTAGTACCATAATTACATTATTTATGGACATTTATGGACGTATATCTGTTCACGCATGCGCAAAACAGATCTTGCTTCCGGGACGGATGGGGTAGTGACAATGCCTGTTGATGCATCTTCTACACATACCAGGGACCCAATCTACAGGCCTTTGCTGCCATCTGGAGGTCAGAGTGCATCCAACTGATAAAGGAGCAAAGATGTATTGTAATATTTTGGACAACTATGTCTAATGTTGCTATTGTGCGGCAATGTTATTTGAACTTTGAATTAAAAAATGCTTTAGTAATCCCAAAGGGTAATAAAAATGTAGTAACTGAAATTATTTCAGTTACTACATTTTCTAGATTATAAGCGGCTACTTTTTCACATACTTTGAACCATGCAGCTTATAAGAAGGTGTTGTTTCTTCCTAATGGTTAGGACTTTTCCTAACCACAAGAAGGGGAAGTCAAAGTTGGAAATGAAAGAATATGGGGCTAATTTTCATTCAGTAGAACTTGCTAGCAACAGGTACAATGGAGAGCAAATATCCTGAATTACCACATTTTTCAATGTATTTGCCATATTAAATCTGCTGAACCAATGAAGAGACTAGACTCGACTCCTGCAGAGATGAAATAAAGAGCTGACGAAGCCCCATCTATCATTAGAAGCTCTTACTGCTGCGAGCAAACAAGCTAACAGCAGCTAGCATTCTTTTTCATCCTCACACTAGGGGCTACATGTAGAGCTCCCCCTACAGGTTTGGTGGGAGACAGTTTAGTAGCTTTTATATGTACATTCTTAGTACTTTCTTTTTTCTTTTTTTTTACGTAATGGGTGCGGCTTATAGTGCGGTTCACTATATAATCCAGAAAATACGGTAAATAATTATAGTAATAGCAATCATTAATGTCTCTAATTGCAACATACCTATATGGATTACATGGGCTATATTCAAATATATAATCTCTACTTAATTTAACGGCGAGTTGCAGATATAAAAAAAACAACTTAAAAAATCTATGTATCCATCTATTCTGAAACTGAGGGAGTAAGGGAGAGGAAAACAGTAATATATTTGACAAACTTTAAAGGTGTTCAAATAGTCAAACGGTTCAAAATTTGGTTATCACAATCAACATATCTGAGCCAGCACGGGGCAACGTACGACAAGTTTTCTACTGAAACATTCAAAACCAGATCAAAGGTCACTGGATCTGAACCTTTTAATCCATAAATGATTTTACATTAGCCTGTGCTGGCTCAGGTCTGATGAAAGTGACAACCAACATCAACATCCCCTAACATTGTGCACAGTGGCATGCATGAGTTGTTTGTTTTAGTAAAGATATGCACAATAGATATCTTTCTCTGCTTATAACCGACTCTCTGCATGAACCAGGAGTGGTTTATATATTGATATTTTACATCTAAATGTGCACACTGTGTATTTACCCCTTAAATGTACATTTAAATGTAGAGGGGAGGCAGTGGTTAAATTTGCCATTTAGAGAAATAAACACTTTCTTCACACACTCTCTTTGTCGGTTGCCTCTGACCCTGAGGAACCGACTTTTATTTTTTTACATTCGTTGTTTTCTAACATTTAAACTAAACCCTGGAGCACCAAGCCAGGGTTTCCCCTGGTAACTCACACAAATAAACACAGCATTTCAGAAAAGGCTCTCCCTGTCCCTGGCAAGGAAGCATTGAACTGTGGGAGTCCTGCCTGACAAACAGACACTCATTCACAAAGTGATACACAAACAAAACAAAAAAAACACACACACACACACACACACACACTGGCACAGCAATGTTGTTGCAACACAAACATTTTTTTCCTCTGATTTAAATACAAACCTTCCTCATTTTCTATTTATCTGGCCTAGAAGAGCTTAGACTTTCCTTTAATAATTATCTTTCTCCTATAATGTCACATTACAACCATCAGCTTTGCTGCATGCCGCTGGGTTTTTATGTGACAAACCAACAAGTGCATAAATGTGAAATGGAAGGACTTGTGGTTTTCATGAGTAAAAATCAGAAAAGTTTTGGTGCGCATTTATATCAAGCACCCCAAATAAGTCCTTTAGAGATCATCTAATTAGTAAACGGAGTCCACCATGTCAGCATAAATACTGTTAGTCAGCAGAAGAAAAACAGGTTTGTTAGAAATAAGTAGTTAGCAAACAGCATCGGGGGACTAAGGAACACAGCTGAATTTAAAGCAGGTTAAAGTTATATGACTAAACTGTAGACTGAACTTGACTTATGGGTTCTAGGTGTGAAGTCCAGCTTAACACCTACAGATATGAGTGTCTCCCTAAACTGAGAGGCTAAGCAAGTAGAAAATTATTTAGAGAAAATGCAAACCAAAAGAAACCAAAGAAGCTACAACTGGTTCAGATGAGACAAAAATAAAGGACGACAGGAGTTGTAAACATTAAAGATCCCCATGCAAAAACATTCCTAAGTGTAAAACATAGTGGTGGCAGCATCATGCTGCTGGGAAGCCTCAACATGCAGAGATTTGCAGAGATGCAAAGCTGGTAGAGATATGTCCCAACAGGCTCACAGCTGGAGGCTAATTTAGTGTGCATAAACCTGGTGCACAACAGCATTGAGTGAAAATAACGAATTGCTATTGTGCATTGAAAACTGGATGTGAATCCAAGAAACCCTACGTTGGTTCTTTTTTGATGTGGGGTTCATTACACTGGATGGAAAAATGCTGCTCAGACAAAAGGGTTCAAACAAACTGTTCAATATGAAGCCAACAGCGACTATAACCGAGCTTTAAATCTACTGTATGTTAAAGATGACGTCCCTGAGAGATGATTTTCTCTTCTCTGTGAACGGGAGCAAAAATATTACGTCTCCAAATAACTTGAGGGAAGAAGAGGAGCTGCCACAGGAGAAGTGAGGAGAAGAAGGATAAGATAAGAGAGGAGAGGACCATAGAAGGAGACATTTAACCCAAGTCAATAATCTGGACCTGAAGAAAATTCATCATCTGTTACTGTGACTATCTATGGTTAAACTTTTCCACACAGAGTGGGTTTTATTATTTTTATTTTTTCATTGAGAGCAACTCAAAAGTCACATGATGTTCTTTGCCTTCGGAGCAGTGAAGAGTTTAGGAAAAAACTGCCTCCCGTTCAGGCAGCAAAAGACACTCAAACCCTGACGTTTATAGAAATCACATGATGGAAACTCATTAGGAGTGAGCTCATCTGAAATGGGTCCCTGAGCAGAACGTCTAAACTTCTCAGAACTGTCAGTTTCAAGGTCCAGCAAACAAAAAGACATTTACTTTGGAATTTTGGAAAGAAAAAAAAAGAAAAGAAAGAAAAAACTCACAGGAGAGAGGGTTGTTTAAATAGGGAATTATGGCGGCCCGGAGGCAGGAAATGATTTAGTGCACATGCACTATTGCTAATTGATGCTGGAAATGAACAAAATGGCTAAAGCATTCAACTATCAGCCAACATCTTGGTTTTCTAAACATTCTCAAGGTTTGGAAATTATCTTATGCTTGTTAACATGTTCAGCCAATGAGAAGGAAGAAAAAATAGTTGTCTACTGGTCTTCCTCTGTGGTCATATTTTCCAGCCTGCAGTCCACTGACAGCTGAGGGCAAGAGGCTGCACTGGCTTAACAAACGACCTCCAATGTTTTCACTAATGTAAAGGAATAAAGCATCAATTATCCTATTAGAGCCGCAGGAATCATTACTGCCCAAAAAAATCCACAAGATCAAAACTTTCAAACATGACAGAAGAAGAACTAATCCAGCTCCTGAAAGCTATCTGTAGTAAAATTACCTGCGGGGGTGAAGATACCTTAGGGGTGCTCCGTAGCTGGATGACAGCGATGATCAAGATGGCAACGAGTGACGCCCCAATGCTCCAAAGTGAACACAGCCATACGGACCACATCATGACAAATGGGCTGCCAAGTCAACCAGACAAACCGACAGGAATGACGACCTGTCCAGATCTGTTCAGCTAAAAACCCTCCGGCTCCTCAGGCTCCTCTCTC